AACGCCCATTGTATTTGATGTTCGAAATTCCAGAATGTCTATTTTTTTCTTTTAAAGTTAATCGTTTTCTTTTGCTAGCCATAGCGCATTACAATAAAGTTTGTATAAACAATACGTTAAATAAATAAATTCGCACTACAATAAACGTTGGCACCACAAACACAACTAAATGCACATAGGACAATGCATTAGTTACAATACTTCGTTGACGCGATAATATTTCAATGACTGAACAGATAAGATTTTTATGTACAGTATAATAATATACACATAAGATAACGTTTTTATTCAGGTATTCTAAAATAATTCTTAATTTAAGATAAAAATAACTAATATCAATGTCATAAAAGTGTCCATTATTTAGAGTGTCCTGTATTTAGAGGTTGTCCTATAAAAAAGTGGTGAAAATGTACCCGTCCCCGAAAAAACGTCCGCTATTTAGAGGTGTCCGTTAAGGGAGGTTTCACTGTATATAATCCATTCAATATCATATGTAAGTATGTATGCATATATGTATATTATACATATATACATACATACTTTATTATATCATTTATTATTATTATTAGCACTCGAGGGCGCCCTGCTTGTTTATATATTATTGTGCTTTTTTTTTTTTAATTTTATTATTATTATAATAACATTGATTCGACACCGACCGTAAACTATTAATGTTTTCATTTAGCTGGTTTTCAGAGGTCACCTTGTTCCCCGGTTTACGGGTACGCTCGCGTCGGCAGATTCTCCCGTAAGTCTCGCGCGAGATCCGGAAATGTACCTTCTTTTTATTAATTCTATTTACTAATAATTTCATTACATTGCAGACATTTTGTTTATCACAACGAGTGCGACCTACTGTCCGGTAGTCTCTGGGCCGGATTGTGTTGTAGGTTACACCGAGTATAAAATTAAAAGTATTGACTTTTTAATATACATACATTGTTATTTTGTGTGCGTTTTGACGCGGCACACAGATGACGGTGTGTATGCACGGTCGCGTTGTGGTGAGCAAAATTGAGTATAAAAAAAAACTTCGGATTTGTGGTGACACAATATATATATGTATATATATTTACCACACAAAATTAAAGAAAAATGAAATAATAATAATAATAATAATAATAACTTACACCGCAAAAGATGTCACAATCAAACAAAGTAATATGTAAGTCGAGGACGAGTGAGCTGTGTCTCGGTACACGATCTCGGAAAAACAGCCCGGTTTAGATGGTGGTATCTGTCGGACGTCGTAGCGTCCGCTCGCATCTCCTGTCAGGGTTGGATGGGAGGACGGGTGTCGCTGTGACGTTGCATGCCGCGGAGTGGTGGTTGATGAGAGAGATAAGGGCACGGTCGGCGACGGCCGTTTCGGTAACGGCTGCCGCACGGGTCCGCGTCAATTTAAATCATAGTTCACTAATTACTCATAAAATATTATGAAACTTACAACACCCGACAATGCATTATAATTTGTTTTGTATGAACATTTGCTCTATGCTCCATCTGCAATCACTGCAATTTTTGATGTGCGTGAAGTTGGCCCCCCTAAATCAAGCTACCGACTCCAAACCTTCACAGACATTTTTTTTGCAATTAATTTGCTATAATTTGCTATGTAGTTTTCAGAAATTGCATACCCACGGTTTTTCCGGAAATTCATATTTTCTGTTCGGGGGGCCAACTTCACCACAGCCCTCCAATTTTAAGCTAGCGACTCCAAACCTTCACAGACATTTTGCAATTAATTTGCTATAATTTGCTATGTAGTTTTCAGAATTTGCATACCCGCGGTTTTTCCGGAAATTCATATTTTCTGTTCGGGGGAGGGAACCTCGCCACAGCCCCCCTAAATGAAGCTACCGATTCCAAACCTTCACAGGAATTTTGCATTTAATTTGCTATAATTTGCTATGTAATTTTCAGAATTTTCATACCCACGGTTTTTCCGGAAATAACAAACATATCTCAAATAATTTAGTTTTTTAAATATTTCTTATATTAATTAAAAATTAATTTCAAATAATTATATAAAAAAAAAATAAGGTATAAAATCCTAATAATTATTAAAAAAAACAATTTTAGATTTTCGCATATATAATTAAGTGTGGATTTATATGAATTCTTCCAGGATTTGAAATTTTTTGAATTTTTTTAATTAAGTCATTATGTATTTCGCAACATTTATCTGATCGTCTTACATACGCGATATAATGTTCAGACTCATATCTAGGGATGGCAAAAATATTCCCGACCTCGATATATCGATTATCGATATATCGAAAAACTAAATATCGATATGCTGATATATCAGTTCAAAAAAAGTCGATAATATATCGATATTTCAAAAAAATGTAATGATAATAATATTTATTATTTTTTTGTTTCTCATTATGTATATACGTAATTTTTACCGAATAAATTATACTAGTAGCATAAATTATTTGTAAAAAAGGTATAAAGACGTTCGAAAACTGGCCTCGCAGAAAAAATATGGATTCAGCCTAAAATATACACTTAAATACATCTATATATATTAATAAAAATATGTTCCCTTTATATTATTGGAAATTTTTGTATCAAATACATTTTTACAACATATCGACATGTTTATAATATTATGAACAAAAAAAAATATTTAAAATTGTATTAAAAAACATATTGTAAACTAAAATATGTGTTTTCATAAATCGTAAGAAACGTTATTAAAAAATTATCTTGACATTTTTCTAAAATGAATGATGATATATTTTCAATTACATATTGTGAACATATGTTTATAATGGACTGATAAATATTTTAAGGAACATCAGGTAAAAAAATAGAGCAATGTAATTTTATAATTATTGAGAACATATACCCTGGTATTAATTGTGACAATATGGTTACATAATAATAAATATATATATATATATATATAGGTTATATATATATATATATATATATATATATTTATTTGTTTAGTATATATAAATATGTGTTATAAAAATTAATTACTTGGCTGTTATGAAATACCACAAATAATAATATAAATAATATTATATAGTTAGAATGATTTATTATAATAACTTAAATAATAAAAAGTTATACATTAACAAGCCAATAACAGTCATCAATAGACCCCAGGAACAACAGCTTAAAAAGTCTTTTGCCCAATAATCTAATAACAAATTAATGATTAGTATAATACAAAATATATAAATTTATAATATATTCAATTAAAATAAATGAATTACCTGTTTCTTTCTTTGGAAAGAGTAGCTCCAGCTTTGGAGAATAGCCTTTCAGAAGGAACAGACGTCGCAACAACACAAAATACTTTTTGAGCTTCCATGTAAATTAATGGATAAACCGATTTCATATCTTCCCAAGTTTCCAAAGGATTTTGCTTTAAAGGACTGACTGGTGTTGACAGATAGTTCATAACAAGTTGATCCGATGGTGAATTACTATTAGTTTTCCTGCTGCTGGACGCCCTTGAATTAGATCGTTTATGGGCTAGTCCTTGGTAGTATTCCCAGAGGTTAAATTCTTTAGCACTTTCACTGGTGTCTTCCTCTGAAGAAGAAGACGATAATATCATGCGGTTGTTGGAAACCATTTCCTTGAAGTGGTTTATGGCATTAGCACAGGCCACCGGGTTCTTGAAATGCAGATTTTTGAAACGTGGATCCAACAATGTGGCCACGGGGCAAAGGTTAAATATTTCAATATTACCAAATTGCTTATTCAATTGGGCAATGACAGCATTTTTTAAACTTTCACATAAATCGCTCTTCGGTGGTTGTGAACTTACACCATTATTCAAACAGCTAACAATGGGTAAAACCTTACTAATTGTGACATAATTCTCTGCTGACATCTCAGTTGTGACCATTTCCAGAGGACGCAAAACCACAATTACATCATATATTTCTTGCAGCTGTCTAGCTGATATCATTTCTGGTCCATTTGGACGTGTCAGCATTATTTCTGAAATAATTTTAGAGAGCTCCACAAATCTTTGAAGCATGTAAAATACACTGTTCCAACGGGTGCTTACATCGAGAATCAGTTTCTTAACTGCACCATCTTTAATGCCTGAAAGAACAAAAAAAAACATATAATATAATATATTTTTTTTAGAACATACATTTTCTATAATAAATGAATATGCCTTGATTTTTTTTTCTTTATTTGAGATAAACAATCTATACCTTAGGGGCACAATAAGTTTATATGGTTAGAGTAATTTACAACATGATACGCTTGAGGTGAGAAGTCATCCACTAATAACACTCGATATGCCTTGATTAATCTGTTTTTTTCTAAGTTCATCACTAAGGAATGTGTTTCGTTTAAAATGCTTCACGATCTCTCTTACATTTGATAATAAATCAATTAATGATGCGGTATTAGATATTGACTTTTCAACTATTAAGTTAATTGTATGTGCGAAACAAGGCACATACTTATAAGTACCAAATGAATCTTTCACCGCTCTTGTGATGTTTGCACCATTGTCGGATACAACAGCCATTATTTTATCTTTAGGAATATCCCATTCACTCAAGCATTTTAACATTTCTTGGCTGATGTAGTTGGCTGTATGCGATTCATTTAATTCTATGACTCCAATAATTCCTGTTAAAAAAAAACATATAATGACGGTTTTTATTACAAAATACTTTTTCTAAGAATACATACTAGATTTCATTGACAGGTTTTGTATATAATGGATTGTAATTCCTAAAAAACTTTTCATCTGTTGACTGTCCGTCCAAATGTCAGTGGTCAGAGAAAAATTTGAAATGGTTTTTAAATCCAACCGAAATTTAGATTCAACAATTTTGTACTTATTGTCAATATATGTTTTAATAGTATTCCTGCAAGGGACTTTATACAAATATTTAATTTGTTGACCATATTTCTGAAGCCTTTGGTTGAGAAGGCTTTATTATCTTTGCATAAAAAATATGCAATTGCATCTGTTATGCATTTATGTTGTGTTCCACCAACTAAAAAAAAAAAAATCTAATAGGAAAATTTATTTATAGTTGTATAGTTAGTATTTAAACCAATTTTAATGTTAGTGATTCAAAATTAAACTTTACCAGCCATTGATGAAATTTGCTTGAACACTTCATTTATATTTTGTTGTCTCTGATGAGGAGAACTATTTGGAATAGACACTATTGTTTTTGATGAGCTTGCAATTGAACTTATATCAGTTGTGCTACTAATGCTACTATCCTCTTGAAAAACATACTGTAAGCACAATTCACAAATAAATTAACATTATAATATTTATAAAAAAAGTATAATTATTTTTTATTTACATCTGGGTCATCTGGATCATTTGAAACATCTTTTCTGCAAGTATTTTTATTGGCTCCACTGTTGGAAACAAATTTAGACATTTTTTGTTGTTCAGGTTT